TCCAATTATCCTTCCTAAATCAGAGAAAACGTCAAGAAATTTTGTCCAAAATTTCATCAAATTAGGCAGTCATCTTTTCTAAAGATGTCGGAGGAGAGTAGGGAAATGTTAGTGTTCGAGCCCAGTCGCCGCCCTATTTTTATGATGTGTGTTTTGTACGGGGAAGAATGCTGAGTTTTCATTCATTTCTATCCCCTTCACTCTCCAGGACTCGATTCCTTCCGCGGTGGGAGCAATCTCTCGGAGCCCTTGAAGTCCAAACAACGGAGGATTCAAAACGAAGCGCACTTCATTCAATTCCGGCAAAACTCCCATTGTGTGTAGGTAGGCTTCCCGGCTCCACGTGTACCGGGCCTCGATCTGAGGATGCGGGGAGGGGGGGGTGAGGGTCGAGGGTGGAAGGAATTAATCTCGGCTGGGTAGAGGTGAAAGTATCGAGGCGTATGGTAGCTTGTGGATCGGGGCCGCGAACCCTANNNGGGGGGGGGGGGGGGGGTTAGGGGGTGAGAGTGAAATTGCGTCGAGCGCCTGGCTGCGTGCGCGCAAATGCGTGCCAGATTGCTCATATCGTCGCGCCGCTAAGTTGCGGAGACGCCTCAACAGGTTGACAGTGCGACCCTTAGACCGCGCACGGTTGTCGCACCTTGGGACCGTCGAAATGCGAGCAAATTGCCATCGAAACCGAATGGAAAGTGGCGTAAAGTAAGGTGAAAGTAACGTAAAACAAGGGTGGGACTTGGTACGTAATGAAAGTCCCGTATACGTAACGTAAAACATGCGAGGGACTTGGAGGACAAGGCGCATAAGTGCAGTTTTTGAAAAAGCAGGTATTCATGATCAAGTAAAACTATAGTCTTAAGGTGATTCGATGGACGCCATATTTTGTGTCAGAACGGCATGCGATATATCGCATCAATTGGTTCCATTTTTTCAGCTACTCGTCATTTTTCTCCAATTTTGAGATCGCAATTCAGTTGTCAGGAGACTAAAGCACTCACTTACCAATTTTAACAAAGAAATTCAACGTAATAAAGGCGTAGGTTTTTTAGAGAGAAAACATCGCATTCGATACTGATATCGAAACTGCACTCGAGTGCAATATTTTTTTTCTAAAAAAAAACCACGCCTTTATTACGTTGAATTTCTTCGTTAAAATTGGTAAGTGAGTGCTTTAGTCTCCTGACAACAGAATTGTGATCTCAAAATTGGAGAAAAATGACGAGTAGTTGAAAAAATGGAACCAATGGATGCGATACATCGCATGCCGTTCTGACACAAAATATGGCGTCCATCGAATCACCTTAATGCATATTATATGAAAAATTCGATCCCGTATTCCAATTTTTAAGCATCAAAAAGTCAGTTTGAACTTTTTTTCCGCCATAAAGATCCATGATATTTCGAACCTTCAAAGGCGTATTTCTCAAAATAGCAAAAATTGCACTCATGCGCCTTGTCCCTTAAGCCCCACAATTGTCTTCCTAGAAATATAAACATGAGTAAACATAACCTGAGTAATCATCATGATCAATAAAATGTTATTGCACTGGTAAAATTTTACTTAGCGTTATTAATTGCAGTAAGCATTTCCCTCGGTGGAATGTGCACTTGTCGGTTGAATGTTTTGTTGGAAAAATGAATTCATTTTTACTCAGTACGCTGACATTATTTAGTGTCACACGATCAAATGGGGCTATAAATGTATCACAAGGTGAAATGCTGTCATTGGCCCAAGTCATCGAATAAGCCAATCAAAACGCCTGACCTTGATAAATTGATAGGATTTGTAACGGGGATAGTTTACAGTCACTGTTTTTGAGTGGCAAAAAAAAAATGATAACGTGGTTAGAATTTTGCAACGTCAAAAAATGAACTTTTGGGGGGTATTTTTTGACCGAATATTATTGTATTTATATTATTTTCCCTGACTGATTGAGTAAAAAGCACTTTGGCACGATTCAGATCTGCGACGATAATCCCAGATGAGAAGTTTAAAAAGTTTTGAGTTTTTCGCTGCTACGCTCACATGTTCCGCAAAGAAAATAAAGTTTGGATGCTTTATGATACTTTATTATACTTCAATGCCGTGAAAGTTCAAACCCATAAAACTTTTAATGGTGACGAAGAGGCGCGGTGGCGTGGGAAAGGAAAAAGAGGAAACCTCCTGTCGGTTGTGAGTGATGTGAAAATTCCTCCATAGCGTCACTCACTGTTCACTGAAAATGTTCAGCCACATATTTGGTGATAAAATAAAATTAATTTTAAAAAAATTATGGAACGGATGTTTTCCCATTACTTCAAGCTGACCTTTTAAAGACTGATTTAGCGTCGTGAAAGTGTGAAAAAAAATATATTTTCCTCTCCTAATGACCAGGTAACCTCGATCAAATGGACGTATTTATGCTGGAAGGAACTGTGTATAAATTAAATCAAAAGGAGCTATGACCAAAAAATTCGCTTGCTTCATTAATCCTATTGATCTAACGCATTTGCACGTAGTTCCTATTAGTATAAAGACGTGAAAGTTCAAAATAAGACCTTATTACGTTTCTCCTATTTTCGGCTGTGTTGCTTACTGAGCCTTTGAAGCACCGCTTTAAATAATGCCAACGAAGACGAACACGAAATAGAAACAGAACAAGGAATAGGACGCACGTTGATGACGGCGCAGAGATACAACTATTCGTGCTTGATGGATGTCCGTGTTGCATCTGCAAAATTGAAGGCGCCATGGCGCAAGGAGTAAATCACTCGCAATGCCTCGTTCCATGCTGTCAATGAGGTGCGACGCTTGGATTCTAGAGAAAAATTCAAAAACGAGGCCCGAATGCGTCTCTCCAATATTCGGCTGTGTTGACTTTCGATTTTTTTCTGTTTTGTCTGATTCTTCCTTAGGATATATTTATAAACTCAAATCTAAAGCTCGTGTGCACCGGCCCCATGTAACCCGCGGAGCACATGTTTTTAGCAAGCCTCGGGTCAGTCTGACCCGGCTTGAGCATCTTAGGGTTAAAAGGATAAAGGTCTTAAAGGCAGTCCATTTCTAGTCAAATTTCAGTCCCATAGAGATATCTAGTTTTATAATGACTTTAATGCATGACGGCTGTAATAGCATCTTTGTGTCCACAATTCTTGCGTCCGACCAAGTCGTTCGTTGTAAAAATATAAATTAGAAAATATATAAGATGCAAGTGTAAAATCAAATTTAAGTTAAATTTCTGGTCTCCGGCGTTAATGAGCGTCGTAATTAATCAACAAACTAATTATAAAACATATTTACAAAAATGAATTTAAACAAATATTGCCCCAGAAAAATACACTAATAATTACAAAAAAAGATGATTAATTCATCTTAAATTCATTCTTTATCATTATAGTTTACAGTTGGATACTCTCGGTAGAAATTAAATTATTTAAACTTATGCCTGATCCGGCAACGCTGAACAAAATATAGGGGTTAGAAGGGCGCGGCTAGAATGAAATCCGAGCGCATAATCGCCGTTTTAGTTTCCTGAGCTTCCTAGCACGATTTCCCGGCTTTTCTTGGAAGCGTCCCAAGCTTTGTTTGTGGTTGTCGTGAGCTGTAATTAGTAGTTTGAGCTGTGGTAGTGAAACAGTAAATCGTATCGTATTACCCTAAATTAAAGCGGGCAAGGGAAAAGAATCCTTCGGTCTGAGTAGGGACTCGTGTCTCGACGAAGAATGCATCACATTTTGTTTTACTATAATTGTAGTTTCGACAAAATGCAATCCTTTTCGGTAGAGAGGGCTAAATTTGCAATATTTCTCAACTTCTGCGTTTGAATGCACCTATGAATCGTTAAACTGGACTTTATTTAGCAAACGAAAAAATACTTTTTCCAGCTTACTATGAAAACACCATACGTCTCATTAGTTTTCTTGTGTAGATAGGTGTTTTTTTATGGATGAGCCAGAAACAGTATACCTTTAATAGCTTTTAGTTCAACTGCCTTTCATGTGACCATGTGAGTCATAAAATTTGAAATTGGTATTCATGAAAGTAATGCCAGAGGGAGTTCTCCATCCTAGCAGAATTGAGTATTTTTTAGCTGAATAAAAAAAAAATTCGTATAACGTCTAAAAACTGTCTCTCGCCAGATCAAGACGTCTTATTCAGACGACAATCAGTCAAGCGCCATTTCTTACATTTTCTTTAACTACGAGAGAATATTTACCCTGAAGTTCAAGTACGTGTGTGCTGACGGAATGCATGAAGCTTTGAATGCAGACAGTTCTGCTTGACCTAATGACGTCTGATTTATTGTGCGAGTACGTCAACTTATAATCCAAGCCGACACGTCAAATTATCTGGCAGTAGGAGGACAAGACATCATTTCTCGGATAGAGGAACGTTCCTCTATTCCAAGGTTGAAAATTGGACTCAAACAATTCAATTGTTCACAAGAATTAACCAGCGCGCAATTTCCGTTTAAAGTTTGTCTAATTTTAGCACGAGAGTAGAAGAAAAATCAACATAATTTTCAGCTAGAAATTCTCAAAGTTTCTCCGGTGAAAAAGCAATCTACGCGAGGAAATTTGGCAACACTAAAATATAGTTACGTTCTTTCGTGAGGGAAACGACGGAGAGATGTAAATCTAATGTGGGATGTGAGCGTCATTGTCAAGAGATCGAGCTGACAAATCTGAAAGTTATGAAAATATCCTGGTCCAAGGCCTAAGAAATAACGGGAAAGTCATCGTCAAGTCACAATGTGATGAATGCTTCGTCTTCGAATTGTCATTGTTATCCGTTCATGTAATAAACCAACATTTAACTCGGCTAGCTATGAATGTTCATGATGAAATTTGTTTTTCCTTCTCGCGTCAGTGTATTTTCCCGTCGTCGTTAATTTTTTTTTACGTAGAATTGAATGTTATCCTGAAAAAATTTTGAAAAATAATTATCCTCCAAAATCGATAATCATTGTCAGTTAGTTTTACTTTTTTAACTAAAATAAATTTTTTTCTTTTGTTTACAGGCTAAATTAGAAACCAAGGCTTTAAAAGCGAAAAGGCCTGGTTTCACGGACGAGAGGTACAACGAAACCTCGTATTATATTGAAAATGGTAAGACTCATTTGTTTTCTTTTATTCTCTCTGGTTTTTATAATCATGATTCTCTTGTACTTTTATTCTATTATCAACTTGGAGAAGCTTGATTCTCATGTACGTCAACGTCTAAATGAAAAGGGGCCTGAGTCCACGGAGAAAAAAATCTTCATCAGAGCGATTTTTAATGACCCAGGGGTCAAAATGGCATTTTGATTTCGACAGAATACGCTCAGCTGTGATTTTAATCAGAAGTTCCGAGCGATTCACTGTATTTTTGTGCCGATTGAGGGACATTTTTGCTCCCTGAGAATGGCAGAGAAGTTCTTCAGGCGGTTGCCTCAGAAGTACGTGTTTTGAACTTCAAACTTTAGACTTCAAAGTTTTAAATTTCGGTTTAGGTTAACATACTTAGGTGTAGAAACCACATTAAAAAAGGTTTATCGAGTTTTTCATCAAGTTCGCACCTGCAGGAATGCAGATTATTCCAGGCCTCTCCAATTTTCTGCAACGCGTTTGGTTTTTGCGAAGGTCAACACAACGCGCCGATCAAAATTTTGCACTGTTTTTGGATGTGTGCCAAAGCCATATTACTCCACGAGAGGTAAAAATCTGAAAATTTTTTGGGGGAAAACTCTCAGCCCCCACAAATTTTTAACACATTCACAATTTAGTCCACGGAAAAGTGTCAGGGGTCATCCCCTAAAAATGTGGTACTACCCTAATTTGGATGTTACGAACATTTCTAATCAATTATTGTGGCAGAGCCACAACTTTTGGGTTAGTACACTAAAAAAAAGTTTGGTCGTTTGCACCGAAATTCGGTGTTCCATATCGTCCCAACTAATTCGGTTCGTCAAACTGAATTTTCGGTTTGTCAAACCGAGCTTTCGGTTCGCGTAATTGAGAAAGTGAACTAACGAACAAAGTTTGGTCATGCATGCCGAACATTTGGCTGCACGAACCGAAAGTTCAGTTTGACAAACCGAATATTTGGGATAATATGGAACACCAAACGTTTGGTTCACATGACCGAATTTTTCCTTTTCAGTGTAGCCTACTTTATTGGGGTACTACCTCAATTTATTGGAAATCATCCGACAACCCCTACCTCTTTTTTTCTGCGTCCCAACCGCGCGGTCGAGAACAATGGACCACTAGACAAGGTACGAATTTCAGCATTCTGATACGTTTTTCTCAACCAAAATTTCACGTAAAACACGATGTGCACAACGAAAATTACCGATATCAACTCCTAACGAAGATAATTAATGATTCTTGATGCGTAAATTCAAACCACCCGCTCATGAAAACTCAATGCTCTGCGTGATTCACATCGCGCGCTAAACGTTATCATGACAGTATCTGCGATTGAAACATCTGGTAACCTCAATTTTGACGCTTTGGCTCGGCTACAGCAAATTGCTTACAGTTTGAACAACAAACGGTGGGAAATGAACTTTGCTCGATTGAGAAGCTTGCTGAAACCGTTGTGGTGAACGATTTGACTCACGTAGAGCTTTGAGTTTCTTGCGAGCGGGCAGTTCAAATTTCTCGTAACCAATGTGAAATAAAAACGTTAATATCTTCGTTAGGAGTAGGTTTCAGTAATATTCGTTGCTTTAATCCTGTTTTATGTGAAATTCTGGTTAAGAAACATGTACCAGATTGCTTAAATTCGTACCTTGTCTAGTGGTCCATTGGCACCCCTGGTTCACCAGACCCAATTTGACGAAGTCCGAATGGTCATAGGACGTTTTTTTCTTAGGACGGCAGCGCTGCGCCACGGAGAGGGGGCGGCAAACGCGGAGCTCATCAATTTGACAATGAGGGGGTGTAGTGCTTAACGCGGCGTTACGATTTTCCGAAATTGATTCGCATTGTGTACCCGGGCAGTTGTGTAGCGGCCAAGTCGCCGAGGGTCGTTGTGTTGCGGTGTGACGCGGCTCGCTCTGCCCCGTCCGACCCTGTCCAGGTCCCTGTCGCAGTGAGACGCAGTGGTCATTTCCTTTAATGGATTTTCCACTCGCTCGCCATCTTTGTAAGCCCGTCGGTCGTCTGTGTAACATTAATCGATTCTTGATACCGGACAACAAACGAGGGATTAGTGTCACCCATTCTCCGCTACGCCTCCCCGCGCCCCCCTTCCCCCCGCTATTCCATTCGCCCTTTTTCTTTGATTGGAAAAAGACCGAATTTCAGCTCGCTCCTCTCAGGATAGCCTCGACCATTACCTACCCCATGGCGTAGACCAGACCGAGGTCGCATCCTCTGGTGTGATTGCTAAACCATCCACACTGGAAAAAAACACATCGGATCTAGATATATAAAAAACATCGACAAGAAAAAGTACTCTTGATTCGATCAGAATCTAGCTTAAATCAAGAACCCAGCCTCTTAATTTAAGCGGATTTCGTTTTGATTCAAGCAAAAATCCGATTGAATCAAGAGTTTTTTTCTTGTCAATGTTTCCAAGAGTCTGGACTCTGGATCCAATGTGTTTTTTTTTCCAGTGCAGGGGACTGATTATTGAAATTGGTAGACAAAGCTATAGACAAAGAAGACATCGAGAGTATGGAACGATCCTGTTGGTCGAGACGGGTGCTTCTCATAGGCATAGGTGGGAAACGACGGACCAACTGCCGGGTCTCTCGTGGGTTGCCGTTAGTTAGTCTATTACTTACCTCCTTTGTCCAATCCAACCTCCCATTTCAACCAATAAGATGCTTCATTTTTCCTCTGTCTCCTATGTATATCGCTTTTCTATTAATTTTAATGATCAGCCTGCAAGAGTTTTTTCTCTCGTCAAAACTTTATGTGGCCCCCCTCGAGGAAAGTCTCCTAGCCAACACTGTAAAATGTAAAATCGGTGTATTGGTACCATTTCGGAGAGCAATGTTTTGCAACATTTTGGTCCCAAAAATGTCAAACCGATTTGGAGTTGTCACCTTCTGTTTGCAGTTCAAGTGACGTACTTCAAAGAAGTAGCTGTGGCCCAAAATCGTAAGATGAAAATACTACTTCATGTCCTGCAATGACACAAAATGAAATACGGGAACCATCTGCAGCGCGTTCTATGACAAAATAAGCCCCAAATCTTCGAATAAAACCAGCGTTAAACTTTTTTGAAGTTTATTGTTCGAAAACGTAGTTTTGAGAGGTTCATCAGAAGTTTTCATCTGCAATGTTTTCGGTGTAAAATCCGTGGATTGAGATCCAAAACGTCCATCAGCATAAACACGATATTGCGTGTACTCCATTATTTTTAAAACTTGAAAAAGTTTTCGGTTGAAAATCCTAATTTTGGGGTTTTGACCCGCCTCGCTACACTAAAAATTTTGTCTCCATGAACCAAGGCCCCTTTCTCCAAATACCGCCTCAAATGAATGATTAAATCAATTCAATCAATTTTAGATAAAACTCTTCACCGTCATTGCATCGCTGAGGTTGTCACTATTGAACTGCCATGCCAAGGAAAAACGCCATAGTAGCCTATTTTAAATTTCCTACGTAAAATCGCAAATTTTCAGGGAATTTTGTTAATATTTTTCTTCCGATTTTCCAGAGAGTTTTGTTCGTAATTTGATCTAAAGTTCCAATGAAAAATATTCATAGCTTCCTTCAAATATGATTATTTCCTGAGAGGGAATGTGGCAAAATTCGAATGCTCACACGGCGTTCTTCCTTATCGTCTAGCTAAGGAAGAACGCCGTTAGCAGTTCCCAAATTTCCTTTGGTAAATCACTAATTTTTGGGAAAATTAGTAAATATTTTTCTCTTACTTTTCCAGATAATTTTGTTTGCAATTTTACTTAAAGTTCTCGAAAATTTATATGAAAATTATTCATATACCTTTCCTCGAGAATAAACATTTTATCGAAGGAAATTCGGCAACTCTCGAATGTTCATACGGCGTTTTTCCTTAGCACGGCAGTGAATCTCTCGTATCCGTTCGGGAGCGATAAAGGCATGCATCGAAAGCAGCGCTTCGATCCGAGGAAGGAAAAAATAAAATTGCCCAACAGTATCCGCACAATTATCGCACGCACATTCCTTTCGTCGAAAAATGATGGATGATCCGCACCGAAGAGGTGATCCGTACAACGAACCCTCTCACCGATTTGTGTCGCAGTGCTTCAACGCCCCCCTCCCCCCTATGGGTTGCCCCCTTCCATTTCAAAGCCGCCGCCCTTATCCCAAGCATGCAAGCTTTCTGTTACCTTATCCTAATCATCGAGTGCTTTTACCCTTTTCCGACATCGTTGTCAGATTGCACTGTTTTATGAGATATTTTACATTCATAGAAATATCGGAATGAAATTCCGAGTGTTTTCACTCTGGAGTGTGTTTGCTTGCCGAAGGGGTAAAATTCTCTCAAGAAGAGCGCAGTTCATCCCCCAAAAAGGAGTAGATTTCCGCTTGCATCGCAAGAAATGGATCATATTTGATTAGTGGTTCGATGGATGGTTTGGTTCAAAACAATAGAACGTAACATCAAACCAAAATTTTAGGATGTAAGTTGGAAAAGATGAAAATGAAATCCCAACAATTTCACCTTTCATCGCCATTTGGTGCTCGAACCTCGAACGAATGAAAGACCAGTCACAAAAGACCCATTCTCTCAGATTTGTAAATTGACTTTTGAGGCTATGTTCACTCATGTTGACCCAATTGATATCGATACAATCTCACCTATTTGATGTATTGAATGCGATTTATTATTTTAGACGTTTTTAAAATAAAACCGAGTTAGGAAGATGGCAACGTCGCGAACCGAGATATGCGTCCTTGCAGTTTCAGCGTCGATATTCAATTTCGATAGCCGTTTTTCCAATAAGAGGACGAGACTATATCAGGATTCGGTAGGATAGTACGGCAATAGTGTTTCTATTCTTCCGGGTTGCGGTGCAAGAGGCTCGGAAGTCCATCCCGTATATTCCGGGGCTCTAATGACCGGAGTTGGAGCAAGTAGCCTTTGGCGTGGCTTAATCTTCCAACTTGGGGCTATTAACGCTCTT